CCCCAAAACCCCAAAACCCCAAAACCCCGATAGTAGCAATTTAATTTGTATCGATTAATACTTAATTCAATTAAAAAAGATATATAATATATAAACGTAAAAAGATGCTGAAAACAAATTAAAGAGCAATTTATTATACCTAAAGTTTAAAATTTTAAAATAATTGTTCTAAGTTTGCATCTTTCTACTTCAGATAGAATCCGAAATAAGGTGAATAATAATTTTCTTCTATGTCCTTTGGGGTAGTTTAAATTTATGGATAAAAAAATGATTCGGGCAATTATCGTCAAAATGGTCAAAGATATTTCATTAGCAGTGCAATTAATCCTTTGAAATTTGGTGAGATCAAGATGAGTAACTTTACAAAATAAGTTGGTATGAGATCTTTCTCATAGCTTAATGATTAGTCTATACAATAGATAGAAAAACAGATTCTACAATAATTTGACAGAATAAAGTCCTAATCAATGCCACAATCTAATCATAAATTAGAAAATATGGAATGCTAAATCCTCTCATTATAAAAGATATTAGGCTTTGATGAAGCTCAATTAACAAACTATGATTAATCTGTAGTTAATAATAAGTCTGAATAATTGCTAACAAAGTTAAATTAAACAATCAACATCAATTCAAAGGAAAAAGAGAGCATGAATGAAATGATTTTAATGGCTCGTAATATCTTATCTGATGATAGAAAGAAAGAAACTTATATGCTAGTGTCTAGCATTGTAAAAGCAGAATAATCTCTACTAAAATACTTCATAGATAATTAGTAAGAGTACCTTAGTATTTTAAAGAAAATTGAAGGTTAAAATAAATAAATTGAGAATCAATAGAGTTCTAAAAATGAAAAGAGTTTAAGCAAAGATGAAAAAAGAAAGTAAACCTAGCATAAAATGAATTCCTCATTAGATTAAGATTTACAAAATCTAGATCCTTAAGATTTTAATCGATTTCCTGAGCTTTTTGTTGTTGATGGTCCTGGCAAAACATATAAATAAAAAAGTGCTGCAAAAAACTACAAAGGAGTTACAGGTCTTTCAGAGCAAAATTTATCTGCATTATTTAAGGAATACTAATTTACCGAACAACAAAAGAATGTATGCAATAAAATAAAGCAAGTCCTAGATCATTTAATAAATGAAGAGGAAAGAGGAATAGTTTAATAATCATAAGACAAGAAATTATTTACCTGCTTTAACGTTCTTAACGTAGCTTAAAATTAAATACAGACCAAAATAATCAAAAACACAATAAATCTACTGTAGCAATTTAGTTCTTCATCATTAGATTAATAGTCTAAGCAACAGATCTAGGAAATCTAATTAGCATATGCTACATTAATTGATTCTTAGAAATTCAAGGTCTACAAATTTATCAATGAAGTAATAGAGGAGAGTCCATCTTTAAATGTCTATTATAGTAATAATAGGGATGAGCTTTTACAATAAATTTACGCTATCAATTCAGACATCAATTTTGATAGCTTCGATATTTAGAACGATATTCAAAAGTAAAAGAAAAAGCATAATCTAATGACTGAGTTAATGGGATAATCAGGTGATGGCTTTAAACTATATATCCTCATTGGCATTTTAATTGCCTCTGGATATATTCTACTATTTAATAGAATGAAGAAAGAACGAAGTGCTAAGGAGAGAGAAAAGTAAAAATAATAAGAAAATGAAAGATCATAAGAAGTATAATAGCTTAAAGAATGAAAGAAACAAATAATTTAAAGATTCTTTAGAAAATATGAGGATATGAATATCCTTTGATTAAAGATCTATTTTAATTATAGAAATTTGATATAATTTATTGATATTTCTAACTTGTGATTATAATCTGAGGGGTTTTGGGGTTTTGGGGTTTTGGGG